GACACACAGTCCATGCTTTGGTGGTTATTTTGGTGTGTGTGCACTATAATTAAATTTGTAAAATTTTACTGTGAAGGTTGTGATGGCAAAAGGGATTCTACTGCTAAGTTCATTTAAGTTCCCTTTTGCTTTCCCTCTTTCCTGTTCCCACTTCCATCCCTCTACCCCTGTGTTCATTATTTTCTTACAATCTTCTTCCTTCCTGCCCTCTCCTATCACTCCTCTCTCCCCACCTTTCTCTTTCTGTTTCTTCTTCAGCCTCTTTTCCCACATCTGAAAAAGCAGTGTTGCTATAACTAGCCACACTCAGGTTTGCTACATTGCAACAGCTAGCACACGAAAACCATGAAGCAGGAAAACCTATTTCAAATCTCTCTATCAGCAGATGCTTTAGACAGAAGATGCAGTAAAAAATAGGACTGCCTTAGGAAGGTGAGCAAGTACCATCTGGGAGGAAGGGAAGGAAAGCTGAGACATTTAAAGCAGTTCTGTAAGATTGCACTACCTGCAGTTCAAAAACCACAGTGCATTTATTTCCCATACATTTTAAACAGCAAGTGACAGATTTGCAGCATTTTATCATTCGTACTTATGTTCTAATATGATTAGATGTGGCATATGAATCTGACTGTGGCAGGTGTTAAGACATGTATGACAGGCATTTCTTCATAGGTTACGTACTGAGCTATAATTTTTATTTCAGACACATACCTGCACAAAATTACTACTAAGAAACATTCTATACACATGAAACAGGTATGGGTAAGCAAAAACCTCTAAAGCACAGTTTTGCAACTGAAAGCCAGATACATAAAAATGGCACCTTCCAAAGTATCCCTGGAAACTCTAACTCAGCAGTATTATTATAATATATTAGCTCTGAAAAGTCAAACTACAACAGGAAAGTGAACTGGCTTTCACTACATATTGTGCATCAGAACTGCTTCTTTAGTGAACATACATAGAAACTAAGTCAAAAGTTGCACAAATTTTGGGATAGCTTGAAGACACTCAGACAAAAGGCAGCTGTGGTTAGAATCCGACCTACTAAATTATCATCGAGATCCTCCTCCTTTATTTGCCTGGAGAGCAACACAGCAGAAGGTCCTACCCATCACCAGATCCTATCAGCCACTATGCAGCACACCCATTCTCACCTAAATAACCTGCCAGCTAACAACTGACCACAATGCATAAAGTGGAAAGAATCCAGCTTAAGTGTCAAATCCCATATATTTAGCATTCAGGAGAAATCTAAGAAGCACTTCTGAATTGGCACACATGATCAGGAAATTATGGAGTAACAAACACAGAATACCAATGTGTTATTTCTAATAGCAATAGAATAGACCTGCACTTTGGGTGTCGCACATTCATGTGCCACCCGCGAGCCACTGCCGCAGTCTGTAGTGGACAGGCTCTTTGTGAGCTCCATATGTGTATGGTCACGCTATGTATATAAAAATAGTAAAATAATAATACTTAACATATAGTGGTCTTAAGCACTCACCTGTTGCCTAAGCAACAAATAAATTAACCTGCAAAAAAACCCTAACTTCATCCTCTTCATGCTGAGACATAGGGAACATATATTTCAAACTACCTAATGAAACACACTATGAAGAAAAGGACACAGCAGGTACTAAATGAAGGCACGGAATGGGAAAAAGACAAGGCAATACCACATTTTTTGTATGAACTGAGAGCCTTACCATCCTGCTGGCCCTGGAGGTTCTGAGGACTTTGCATTCTCTCTTCCAGATTTGAGCTGAGGTCAGAGTTCACAGCTGACATCCTAGTCGAGTCACTCATATCAAACTCATCACTTTCTATAGAGCTTTCATCCTGCAAATGGAAAGTTTCAGAGACATGTCAGAAAACATTGTACACTGTTCACTTTACATGTACAGCTCACTCATTCCTGTTTGTTTCACTCACACCTGGTGTGGAGTGTAATCACACTAAATCTTTGTGTATATAAACAAACAAGAAGAGCAAGATAAACACAGCATTTACATGATATGATAACCTGACAAATGCAATTTGTTCAGCTATGAGGATACTCTATTACTGCACTCTCATAACTGTTTCCATAGTATTTTGCAAAAGAGGGCTAGTAACTAGAGACCACATAACAAGTCCTTGTTATTCAAATTTGGTTGAGGAGAGCTCGGGCACATTTCCTGACTGAATCCTCTACCTTTCCCAAGCGAGGTCAGTAACCCCATGATGACCACTCACAGTAAGATATTTCCAAATGGCAACTTTTTCTAACAAGAATCCATGACCAAATTCCCTTGGCATGATGTCACCCTTACACTGCTACTGTGTTTAAAGAAGCATCTATGAAAATGATAAAGATTATAAAGGTTCTGAGCATGTTCAAATGACAGTCAATGGCACACAAAATTAATACAATCACATGAAAATCACTTCAAATTTATTCTACCCTATACATCTTTAATATGATTTATCAACCAAGTCTAATTACAGAGTATATACCTGAGACAACAGCTGACAGCAAAAAGTCCTGATCAAATATTTTGTCCCCCTTTATAAAAGCAAAGCAGTTTTGGACCTAGTCCAGCAAATGTTCACACACACGTCTAACATCACTTGTTTCAGTCCCTCTGAAGTTCATGTTCCCACTCATGGATTAAAAATTAAGAATCCACAAGTCTGTAAACTGCTGAGGCAACATTCAAACCTAAGGTGATATATTTTCAATAACAACTTTTCTGAGATAATTACTCCTGTTATGAAGAAAAGCATTTTAAAGAAAATCAAGAAAAATAGAGCAAATAATTTTGTATTCCCTGAAGGTGAGTTTAAAATACTTCTCCACTTAGTATATTTTTTTTTTTTTTAACAAAAACAGAACTGTCAGGATTCTGACTGTTTTCCTGGGTTGCTCATGAGAATTGACCTAGAAAAACAGCAATCTTTAGAATACGATTTACTGTGAACTTGTTGTGAACTGGTTTCTACAGATACTAATACAGCTGCTTTCTTCTTTCTGAGTACTTGGACCTTAAATCATTTCCTCTCTTGATGCTTCCAGCTTGCACGGGTGTCTCTCCTGTTTTCAGAAGGCAAGTTCCCTGCAGTCACGACTCTCGTTACACTGGGATGAAGTACTGCCAGACACCATTCAGGAGTGAGAGTGGGACAACACGCAAGGGGATGCTGTTCTGCACTGTCACACCAGGAGAATGACAAAAAATGAAACAAACATACCTTGTTCTCAAAGCTTTGTAAAAAACTAAATGGAAGACCGAGGGCTTTCTCTAGTGGGTACCTGTCTGCCCTGCACAGACAAGCAGAGGAGCACTCCGGTTACAGAGGCAGCAAATCCCCAGCCACTGCCCTCGCACAAGAACTGTGGTGCCCACCAGCCTCCTGACCCAAACAGATGGGGCCAAGGCACACACAGAGCTGGTTCTGAGGTTTAGAGAAAACACACACTGCTTGTTCAAAGAGCAAGATCAGAACACAAACTCCCCCAGACCTCCTAGAAGCCTGTGCCTCTGTTAAGGCACAGTGGTATTTCTCATTGCAGTTCTGCAGGAACCAGCAAGCAGCAGCTCATATTTCCCAGTTCTGAGGTTAGGCAGTCTGTACAGGCTCCCAGAAAGGGTGCTCTAGCTATCCGATGCTTGCATACGTATAAAACAACACACATGGGCAGCCTGTGTTTGCCTACAGCATTCTGCAGAATATCTCCACCGCACTCTCCAAACTGTGTAAACATTGATCTGAATCTGCACAGACACACAGGCATGCGGACACAGGGGAAGAGGCACTGGGAGCCCCTGGCATCTTTGTACCGGTTGCAGCACAGCTGTAAATTCCCACACAGTGATGAGTTTTCTTGTTGGATGCAGCCTGCTTCCCTTCCATCAATGGCCTCCACTTAAAAATGATGAGAGAATTAGGAGGTTTTCAGTCCCTGTGCTAGATAGTTGTGGGATCCAAGTTTACTCCTGTCTCAATTCCACCCTCTCCACAAGAATACAGATTGATGAAACCTTGGAAACAGAGCCCTCCTACAAACCCAAGCATGTTTTTAAGTGTGTTAAATAGTTTGAATGTATGGACCAAAAATCCTTCTGCTTTGTACCATTTTCATTGCTATTTTGTTCTTAGTGCAACAAATGTACAGTCCGAAAGAAAAATAAATCCTTAGCAAAACACTGCCCTGAGAAAAGATGTAAAGATTATCCTGAGAACAGTCCTTGTGTCTACTCTGTCCTGGCAAAGACATCATTACTAAAGCAAATCAAAAATTAATTTTATCTTCATAAATAGAGTGCTACAAACATTTCATACAAGGTAACATTAGAGCTGCAAAACTGATCTGGGCAGGGAGATACCAAGCAATGGTTCTAACTGCTGTCACCATATCATCTCCACTGGTTGATCCAGATGAAAAACTGGTTTAACCCAAATTTCAGTTGTCAGACTAGAAAGACTACAGCTAAACATTCAGGCTGCAGAGGCACTGTGGCAGGTGGCCCTGATGCAGCATGAGCCCTTGACCCTGTTGTGGGAGGAGTAATTCTCAAAGGGAGGAAGCAGAAAAACCAGAGTCCTTTAACTCCTCAGGCTGCAGCAGGGATAAAGCCGCTTTTCTCCTGTTGCTTGAAACCCTGAAAAGGGGCTGCACACAGAGGAGACACTCAGCAGGAGGAAAAGATGACCAGGCTGTACTTGTGCATGAAGAACTCAAAGACTAGGCGATCTCTCCCCACACCCTCCACAATTAAAAAAAAAAAAAAATGGCAAAAGCAAAACAAGGATCCTGATTTTCTAGAAGACTCATGAAATCCCCATTCCATGGGGTGTTGAATAATTAATAAATCTCTACCAGTAGCCCATATCTACTTATTATGAAATTAAATCTGGCTGACTTTACAGAAGTCAGGAGTCAGTCAGGGTCTTTGACACAATCCAGCTGCTAAGGTTGTTTTTGAAGATTTTCTCTATTTAAAAAAAAAGAAGTCCTGTAGTCAGGCAGAAGGACACAGCATGCAGGACTGCTTTTTGGCTGGAATCTAGCCAGGCTTCTAACTATTTGGCAGCTCAAACAGTAAATGAACACATTGCTAGCAAAATTAGTTTATTACAAATAATTTGGTAGGTGCCATCCAATTGATCAAGCACTTCTTAAGATCTGGAAAAATTTTGAATAAATCACAGAACTAAAATAATTTTTGAGAACAAAGAAATGCAATTTGACTCCAATTCTCTCTCAAGAAGCTTAATTCTCAGCCTACCTCTCTTCCTTTTTGGTTCTGTCTTTTTATCCAAAGTTTCAAAAGCAAGCCCTACTCCTATTTATCAAGCTTTTTGCCTTAAAGATTCCAACTGATGTTGCCAGGGTTTCCATCTATCTCACTATAACGTGTTGCATCCTGGCTGCTAACCTTGAGAACACCATGCCATTCATTTCAGCTGTTGATGGTATTGCTTTCTAGAAGTAGACAATGAAAGTCACTGCTGAGCACAGCACTAAGTCTCAGTTGAACATGCTGCCCCCCCTTAACCTTTCCACTGGTTCAGACAGTAAAAGGGCACCTTCAGGTAATTTGAAGCAGTACGGAAAGGTGGTAAGTCATGATATTTTCTCTCAACCTGATTACTTGCAAACAGCCTTGGTTTGGTTTCAGATTCACTATTTTAGCAACAAAATTACAAAGATGGGGTCAACATTCATCTTCAGTTCAGTTTCCTGGCTAGTAGAAAGACAAGTACCAAAGAACACAGAACAGAAAAATAAAATATTTCAGGTTTTACCTCATCTTGCTGTGAATTTAGTAGCTGCAGTTTCATGTGTTTCATATAAGCCATAGTAATTGGCATGTTGTAATCAATCATACTCGTCACCAAAGTTGGAGGTTTTCCATTATCTGCAATAAAAATATTTATCATGCACTATATGTTAATTGTGGAGATTACTTCAGCCTACTCTGCAGTCAAAGTCAGAGTTATGTCATTTAGTTCTAACTTTGGCATTTCCAACCGCTTGTAGGCTGTACAGATGGAAGTCTCCTGAAGAAAAACAAAAATCAAGTTAAAACCCTGCAAAGTGATGAGTTGTTTTACCCTAAATGACTACAGCACATGCACCCTATCTGTTTCTTATGTTTAACCCCCCATATAAACATTTCCATAGCAAAATAAATTCTTTCCTCCGCATAAAATAATCTTTCTATTGAGGGTGCATGAGGTATTACGCTACATCCTTAAGTGAGAGCAGAAGATCCACTACCTTCCAGCTTAAGTAAATGAGATGATCTGACTTATTGAACTGTTCCAGTCTACCAAATTTTTATGAACCCTCACTTAAGCTAGGAAAATATAAATGGGTATTAAGAATAAAATTACTTTACATCCCACTATTTGACACTAAAACTACCTTTATGATCCGCTCCATCTGGGTTTAAATGCATTCTTTTCTGGCACTCTGAGCAGCTCATTAAAAATCGTGTCACCGCTTCTCTCGGTAGGAAGGCATAGGTCTCTGAAATCTGAAATGAGTAACAAAATATAGGCATTTTTATATAAGGTGATTGAACATTATTTAACAGAACTGGTCATTATATTTCCAAATAAGGCATATTATCTTATAATGCCAGGAAGCACAAGAAAAGCATGTTCTGCATACTATGTAGGATTTCAAGAAACATCTATCCAATATGCCTTCTTATCACCTAATGGCTAATAACAGTCAGTACTGAACAAAATTTCACATATCAAAAGGGGTTTTGTTTTCTGTTTACCATTTTTTTCAAAAAAAGATTCATATATAACAGGCATCCCACTGAGGGATGTTTTTCAGAAAAATCAAAAGCAATACCAAAACCAGAAAGTGCTTGGCTTATGTCTTCTATTTCTTTTTGTTATAACAATATGTAGACAGATATAGCACTCATTGTATTAGCAGCAATGACAGTCTCCTCGCTATTTTAACTACGTATATGAATGTTCTGCAAAAATATTCTTGGAAGCCTGTGATTTAATGCTACAGAGTAAATATTTTATTTTTAATAATAATTACAGAATTTGGGAATCACTTGATTTTAAAGACTCTGTGTTACCTGGAGATACCTTGAAACAACAGATTTTGATTGTTTCCTCATTTCAACATTATCAGTCTTTCCAACCATATATTCACAAGCAGGCATCAGAGGGATTTTTTTTTTTCCTTTTTTGAAAGGGGAGAGGAGGAAGCAGTTATTGCTGGTTTTAAAGACTGCATTACCCCTGCTCTTAAGGATGCATATATCTTTATAGGCATTTGCTGAAAAGGAGCTGGAGGTTAGTGCCAAGCTGAAAATGAGCCAACAGCACACTCTCTGATCATGGATAAAGCACATCTCATACTGGCTACGTTAAGTGTATGGCCAGCAGATCAAGAAGAGTTATTATCCCTCTCTACTCAGTGCCGGTAAGACAGCTGCTGGAATAATGTGCCCAGATTGCCCCTCCAGAGTTCAAGAAGGCTGCTGAGGAGCAGGAGAGGGCTGTGTTGCAGGTCACCATGGCAGCTGGAACCTAAGGAAAACCTTGAAGGAAAGGTTGAGGGAGCTGGGTTTGCTTCATGTAGGTTGTGAGGCAGAAAGAGACCTAACTGCAGCCCATCACTGCCTGAAGAGGAGTTAAAAATGTGTGGAGAGAAACTTTTCAGAGGGTATAACCAGGGACAGCAGCCACCAGCTGTGGCTTGGGACATTCAAACCGGACATCAGCATAAACTTCTTCACTAAGAGGCCAGTGCACTGGATCAGCTTTATCAGACGGGTGGAAGACTCTACAAAGTCAGATTTTTTCAAGATATTACAAGGCAAAGCCACAGCTTTTCTGTGATTCATTATATATGTTGATGTACGTACACTGAGCAATGCAAGTGTTGTAAGGAATCTCTAGCCTTTCTTTTCCCAACCAAGGCGGTTGTCTTGCAACGGAGATAATCCTTAAAGAAAGATTAAGTCCCAGCAAAAGAGATTAAAAGAGTCAACTGATATCTGCTTGTATTCCCTTATTGTAAAACCTACAGCAGGATTTGATTTCCTGTCAAGCACCACGTTGATGCAAGTCTCTGTAGGAAGTGCAGAAGGATGGAGGTGGGGTGTATGAAAGTGTGGATACAGAAAGGACAAGATAACTTTCTTTAACTGGATGTAAATGGGATTGCATACTGTGCAAATCACTCGTGCTCCTCAGAAGGGTGCTAAGAGGAGGAGGAATGGCCAGTTTTGACTCTCTTACACTCCTCTCCTTGGTTTGTCACGTGTCAAAACTTAAATTTCCTAAAACTCCGTGGACCAAATTTATCAGTGACAGTGTTTGGGAAAATAAGTGGAGTTTAAATTAGTGTTTGTTGATGTGACATGAATCACAGAAATACATGGAAATGATGTATTGTAAAATAAGAATGCAAATTATACCAAGCTATGATTCTATGATTCTATGGTATTGTTGTTTAGGCTGTTTATCGTTGTTGTTTTCTTATATAACAGAAATCTTATATTTTGGGGGGAGGGAGAAGGGCATTAGTATAAAAGCAAAATTTGTTCTGTGATGAAAATTGGCAAAGATTTTCTCTGGGCCTGAAACAATTTATCTGAAAATTAAGGCACTAAATGAAGCCACTTTTGAATGGGAGATCCTACCAAAAAAACCCATAATCAGATTATCCTTCCTGTTTTTTATACCACAGAACAGATGCTTATTTACCTTTCCAAATATGAAAATATTGGTTAGACTCATGCTTCATAGAATCTAAAAAAAATAACTTAAAATCAGCTAGAATTTAGCATTAAGAAAATTGGTAAGTGCACATACACAGCAACCTCTCTCTCACAACATTTAACACATTTAGCACTGCATTGAAATTAATGGAGCTTACCCATGGATTCATTAGTTGCCTGCCTTTGATAGGAATGCTCCATTTATTCTAATCAAGGACCTCTGTCAAAATCCCAGTTCTGCTCAAACAAGACGAAAATCCTCCACAGAAAGCAAGGGAGCTAAGGCCCAGATTTGATAGGTACGCTCCAATGACTACAAGGGAACTGGGTTTTATAACTAAATTTGTCCACATAGCAGATGCTTGTGTCTCCAACCTCCCACTGCAACACAGTTTTAAGGGTGCCCTTCCGTAAATAACACCAGTTTTCACCAACTTCCTCCCCTGTTTACTTTGTAATTTCAATCAATCACTTCCATGCTAAGACTTCAGCCTGTATAAATTGGCAGAACACAACAGGTACGACATTAAAAGAGATACATAGAGGACATAACCCACAGCTTTCCTTAATCTTGCTGTTTGAATATACACAAAAAGCTCTTTCCAATTTTCAGTGCCAGAAAGCTTATAAAAAAAACCCCCAAACCTCACGTCCCCAACAGTGCAGACTCCTGTTTGCCTTTCTCATTAAAGAAGGGCACGTCTACCTTACAAGACACAGATAGCCGCTTGCTTGCCCTGCCCATGCTCTGAACCAGCTGGCTTAGCACAAGCTGTGGCTGGGAAGGTCTCTAACCAAATTAGCACAAGGCCAAACACAAAATCCTATATTTTACTCCTCAGTGGAGTTTACCAGCTTGTGCACAAGGTCAGGCTGATGCAGTTCAGGGAGCTGGCTTGCATGTGAGTATTTCAGAGCAAAACCTGGAGGCCTATGACATTTTCTAAGTAACTATACAGAAATACCTCAGGCAGTGGTCTGAATTCATCGGGAAAAATTGTTTCTGTCCTGTATTCTATCTGAAAGAAAGGAATAATGACTCAGTCCTCACTGATGCTGTATATTCTCACTGCCCTCAGCAGCCCTGCTCCTAGCTCTCCTCTCAAGGCCATCAGCTAACAAAATATATAGCTAGACCATTTAATTCAGTGATGTGCTGCTATGAAAGAATATTGGTTTATTGCAATTCCACACACAAAAAAAACCCCAAATGCACACACATCTACATTTTAACAAAAAATAAAGCCAGAAAAGTGAAATGAAGGGTATTGCATTATTTACATCCACACACTAACAACGCAGACTGGCATATTTTTGGCATGACTTACAAGAAACTGCTCATGCACATGCCTGTACCAATCAAAGAACAATCAGTGCTGATTTACTATATTGATAAAAGTACTTGGATTGCTTTAAAAAAAAAATAAGTATAATTTTTTCAAATACAAAGCTTTAGATGTAACCTTATAGGATTCCTTATTCTTACTAATGGTTTTATTGCACATTAGTATATCTTCTGTTGCTTGCAGGTAGAAGCATGTTAGCTGGTATCTGGATGTATTCTGTATCACAGACAAATCAGAAAACAAGCAGATTCTCGCAGGTTGGTGTTTAGATATTGTGTACTAGGTATAGCTCTTATAGCGGAATGATTTTTACGCTGTAAAGGGAAAAATTATATGAAGAAGAAACTAGACAACTGGAGCACTAAGCAAAGAGTGCAAAACTCATACAGGGTTTGTTTTAGCCTCAGAAGTTAGAGGATAAGAAGCAAACATTTCCTACACAATGTCTACATGCACCTACATGTACTTTTGAACTCGGAAGAAAATAAAAAGGGTTTACTTCCGTGGCTTCAAAGTCAAAACTTTCATAATCTTATTTTGCCATTCACATAAAGTCCATGATATAATAGATTTTTACACATATCAACCCATCCAAAACATTGTCAACAACAAAGGCCTTCTAGATGTAATTGACTTACATGCTGTTTACTGGATCCCATGAAGAGCACAGCTACTACAAGGCAAGTGATACAATACCTGAGCGTGTAATCTGATGTACATTGGAGCTAAGAGACGCATGCCCTAATCGTCTATGAGAAGCATATTCACTGCAGGCAGAGAAAAACCTGCAAAGTCTCCTTTATGCTCTCCAGTATTCAGATGATTTAAGGGCAGCATGCTGTGATGATGTAGCTTTCAGAGCTACAATTTTTTGGAAAATTAACAAGCTCTAAAGTGAAAGGCAGATTTTAGGACACATATGGCAGAGTAGGAAAGACAAGTGTGAGGAGAACGAGTGAAATTTTGCAAGTGAACCTATTAACCCCTAAAGAATTAACATGGAGGATGCATGTGTAGTCTGGAAGATACAATGTGTCAGAATAGAGAATTTTGTTGTTGTGTGTGTATATTTTTTTAATTAAGGAGGGTAAGGGGGGGAAGATGATCCAAAGAAGACTTCCAAGAGGAGAGAGAGAGAGAGAGAGAGGGAGAGAAAGTGAAGATGGTAATCTGTCCTGGGCCCATAGCCATCAAACCAGGTGGCAGAAATTGGTTTCTTGATGACAGGAGGGCAAGCCAGACAAGGAAAGTCCTCTCCTTTCCTCAGCAAGAGGTTACAATAGAAGGCTGACATAGGAAAACAGATATATTACTGCTGGGAGTTTTATCAAGAGCTTGCTACCCTGCTATTCAGGGGAAAATGCTGTTCCCTCTCATGCTAAACTTGCACTTCACAGCTCTCTTCCCTTCCCTCTCCAGCAGCAGAAGACA